GCTTGGATTTTAAATAATATTTCCACTATATTCCATTTAATGATTATGTGAAAAATTCCCTTTTAGTTAATTTTTACCATCTAGAAATTATATACATTTAGCATTTTTTTTCACCATGTAGAAAAGCTGAGAAAGTAAAATTTCTGAAGTATCCATATTTATACCGAGGAGCTACATCAACAAATTCTGGTCAAATATATTTTAAACTAAATAAAATTTTCCAACTATTAAAGACGTCCATAAATGTTCTTTTCCATATTCGATTATTCAAACTAGCTTCTAAGTATATATGATTATTTGAAGTATATACGATTATAAAAGAAAGTTTATTCAGGCTGATTCACCAAATATTCTCAAATCAGGCTTCTTAGGAAAGGTCCTAAAGGAGATGGTGAGTCAAAAAGATCACATGAAATCTTAATTTTTTTTAAAAAGCCAGTATTGACAACCTAAGATGATTGTAAATAATCAATGCATTAACAGTATTATATTTGGAAAAAGAGAGGAACATGTCTCTTTCTAATCTTTTCTAATTCTGGAAAAAACTGAAAAATAATGTTGCATCCTGGGAAACACCACTGTAAGAAGGACTCTGGCAAGCTGGGGCACGTCTGAGGAGAATAAAGAGGGTGGTGAAGACTTTGGGGACCATGAAATATGAAAATAGTCTAAGAATAGCAGTTGCTGACCTGGCAAAGGTAAGAATAGTGGATCTGTGGCCGTCTTCCAGTACTGAACCATTGCCACGCAGGTGAGGCAGTAGATTTTAGTTTGCCATTCCGCTTGCCCTCCTTCCACACTACTGCCCAGATGATTTTTCAAGACACAAATCTCAATATGTCACTACTTGTCATTACTCCCCTACAAGCAAGCAGACGTGTAGCCAGTCTCCAGGCCGATAAAGAGTTTGAGCATCTCAGAAGAACCTGATAGGACCTCACCCCAATCACATGGCATTCCGGGCAGCTGGATGCTCTCAGGAAGAGTTAAGGGCCTCACCATCATTATGATGACACCTGTGACAACAGCTCACAGCCCTCGTTAAACTTCCTGAGACATGCCATGTTCACTTTCTCACCTCTTTGCCTCTGCTTATGACGTTTCCTCTCCTTAGGAGCTAGTCAGTAACTTCCCATCATTCTATAGAACCTAACTGAAATCTTACCACCTCTGAAAACTTTCACAAAGGATTACTTTCCATTTCTCCCCAGATGAGTTAAGTGTCCCTGCTTTGTATTAAAATACCACCTAGCACAAACCTTTTATAGAAAGTATTGAATTGCTTTGCAGTCACTGATTTACTTGATAGCAGGACACATGAGCCTAACCTGAGACACAGTCATACACGAGGGGGTATTTATTTGCATGAATTGAGGTGTGTGGAAGGAAAGGGACTGTGAGGAGGAGATTTTGAGCATCTAAGCCTGGTAGCAAAGATGGAAGAAAGGTGGGGAAATCAAGAGAACAACTGAGTGTCTGGCTCACAATCTGGGGTCTGGTTCCTAAGCCTGGCTTCATGGATTAAATCTGAGTCCTATGGAGAAGGAAAGGCTGCTGACAAAAGCTTTAGGAGCTAAAAGTCTTGTTAAAAATGAGGCACATGCAGGCCTGTGCAGTGGCCATGCAACAAGCTATAATACCTGGTCAGAAAAGGGAGCTTTCTTCCCACTTCTGCACACATTACCCAGCTTTGCTCAGGGTTGGAAAGGACATCTGTGCACCTGAGACCATGCAGGGGGAGCTGGGACACAGAACTGGTAAGGGGTCCAGTTATGCCATAGGAATTCTGAAATGGCCAAGGAAGCCCATGTCCAGCAGATGCTGCTATGCCATGTCTAGGGGAGAAGGGCTGGTGAGCACTTGGAAGGAACGACGAGTTAGCAATAAAATGTGTTGGTTTTTTTGTTTGTTTTTAAATCTTGGGGATTTTCATAAGTACTTTAAGGGTGGCTTTTCTAAGAGGCTGTGCGTCTCACACTACAAGGAAAAAATGACCAAGCAGCCAAGTATAAATTATTACTGTTAATTGGACTCTATTTATAGCCATGGTCTGGACGCCTGGTGAAATCTGGTTATGGTTATATTCTTAACCTACGCCTACCACCAACCAGCCTTGAGATCCTTGAGAGTTGAGACTGTTGATTTTTTAAAAAAAATCTCTCTAGTCCCATTACTTAGAGAACCCAGCAGAGCAGATAATGAACATATAGCTGTTGAATGCAGAAGTAAAGTTAATCAAAGAATATCTCCAACAGACAAATTTTAAACAAATTGGTGGAAGTTACAGGAATATATTAAAATGCCTTTCTAACAGCTTTCTAACAAGTAGAGCTCCTTATCAGGGGAAGTAGCCCATCACAACAGTGAAATCTTACCACTGGAGGAGTTGTCAAGACTATCACAGAGGAGGTACACACCTCATGGAGAGAGATGGATCATATCATTTCCAACTCTCAAATTGTTTGGTATTAATTACATGGAAACCAAGAGGAGATTGGCCATGACGAAGAAGTTAGCCACATAAAACAATAAGTAGAAATGATGAGTCAACAACAAAACTGGTATTTTAAAAAGTCTTCAAGGACTGTCTATAAAAATCAGCAAGCCTTTAACCAGAGTTCATCAGAACTGAAATAGAACCCTGAAACATTTTTGCATGAAGCCATAGACATTATCTTTAAAAGCTATCCTACTATAACCCTGAATGATGTCCAGAGGACTAAGCTACCCAATGGACATCCATAGTGAAGATGTTAAGTGATGAAAGGTTAAAGGGAAAATTTACAAGGTGTTGAGAGCAGGCTGTGATTTGTAGACTCATAGCTTGTTTCAATGTCTCTTCCATGGCCAGTGGCAAAGTACACGTTAGAGCCACTTGTCTTTGTTCCTTTAACTTCCAATAAATGACTGAAGTATCCCACATCTACCAGAGGAAAATTACTAGACAATGCAGGAAAGGTTCTTCTGAGATAAATAAACATTCTACATTAATTTAAAGGCCATAAATAGAATGATGAAGAGGACTATCTCATAATGTCAAAGTTCAAAGGCACTTTTCAAATGTCTCTTTAAAGAAAGTCTAACCTTTCTTTCTTTATTGTCAGAAGGTTTGCCAAGGGCAGTCTGGGCCTTGAGTCATTTCATTTTGACATGGAAGTCCTTTCAGCATTAAAAATAATCAAAAGACCAGAAATATTTAGCTCTGCAGTGACCATGAGGAGATAGTCAGCAGGATAAAAAAGAACAATATTGAAGTAATAGTATTTAAAAGGTTGTGTTTTAATAACTCCAGAAAGCTTTTCCCCTCATATGTGAGAGAGATAACTTACATGAGGCCAGGACTAGCTGAAGGAGTAAGCATGAACAGATATTTTTTCTAATGTATTTAACGTAATTTTACATAATATTTTTAGAAAACTTGCTGAGTATACCACTAGTAACTTTCTATGTCTACTCATAAATATCTTTTTAAGGTACTGATTAGGTAGCATTAGATATAGATGTGGACATAAATACATTTTCATAAAAACTAAAACCTCTTACAAAGGTCTCTTTTCCCCCATTTTAAGGTATAATTTACAGACAGTAAAATGCACCCTTTTTAATGTACAGTTCTGCAAGTTTGACAAATGTGGTTGTACAACCACCACCACAAACAAAATATAGCAGTTTCATCACAACCCCCAATTGCCCTGCACCCTTTTAGAGTAAACCTCTCTCGCCATCTCTACACACTAATACCTACTGATCTGCCTTCTGTTCTTATAATTTTGCCGTTTCAAGAATGCCCCATAAATGGAATTATACAGTATGTAACCTCTTTTAAACTTCATGCACTTGGTAAAAAGTAACTAAATATAACGTCATTTAATTTACTGATTTCTATTTTCTGAACTTAAAGGCAATGATATATAAAATCAAATTACCTTTGAATATTACATCTTGAAACAGGTATTACCCAGGGAGCCTTTTGAATACATAGATCTTTAGGATTCCACTTCCAATGTATTGAATCAAAATCTCTCAGTGTGAGTCCTGAGAATTTAGTTTTTACCAAGTTTTTTAACCTTGATTCTGATTGATCAGCCAGATATTAACCTAATAAATATTCACTCTATGAGATCAACTACCAGGCTGTAAATTATGTGTGAGGATGGGGTCAAAGTTCAGAGACTGGGACAGGAGTCTTATCTAAGTGATCTTGTCTTTGTATTTGGCTACCACTGGCTGCAGGGCCTTGAACAGGTCAATTACACTCACTGAATCTTGGTTTTGTCCTCTGTTATGCAAGCGTGTGATGCCTACTTCATAGGATTGTTTGGGGGATTAAATGCACATAGAACATTTAGAATAGTACCTGGCCCACTCAATGAATAGAAGCTGTTCATCTTGCTAACATTGTATTAGTATCATCATCATCATCACCATGCTGTCCTGAGCACTTTACTTGTCTTTATCCATATTTCTGCATTTTGGTCAATTTCACTATTTTTAGCCTTTCCTCTAAGAGATGACCAAAGTAAAGAGAACCCATTTTTATAGATGCCTAGCTATTATTCAGGGCAGTGCAGAGCTAACAGAAATTCACTGATTTTTCCCAACCCTCACTTTTACCCTGTTATAGCCTCAAAATTACTAATGGAGACAAAAATGAATTATTGGAAACTCTCCCTTTTTTCCCAAGGGGATGTTATTGGTCAAATATAAGTAAACAAAGCAGAGGAAGACAAATGAAGGGCCAGAATAATGCAGAAAATTAGGTTGTCTACGTAGGTAGTAAATATCTAAAAATTGACTTTATTCATTAGCAGTTTTAGATGTATATACATGTATTTTTAAATTACAGTTTTTACTTAAGCCCTGAAATACAGAAAAGTGAAGATATTTGGCTGCACTTGCTGGTCTAAAGAAATAACAACTATCCTCAAAGAATACATGCAATGCTGCCGACACAAAGGACCCGAGACAGAATCAAAAGACAAACCTGAAACAAGCCCTACCTGTTCTCGGCATCGGCACTGCACTTTGGGGACATCAATTCAAAGGATTTGGTAAACTTCACCACCTGCCACACAAAAAGATAATAAATCCACATCAATTAAGGCTTTCTCACGGTTTAAGACAATGCAATAAGCAGTTTTCATCTTTATAATGGCTATTCCAATAATTGGGGATTAAAGAGGGATTTTAAGTGAAGAAATCCCAAGGGACAAAAGAAGAAAATTCTATCCTACATTTTGTATTTTTTCCTGCATAGCACACATTGCCAAAGTTTTATTACATTTTACTAAAAACATATATATTTTTACAATGAGGTGTGTACTATCCTGTGGTGGTCAGGCAAAGGGACATCTCATTTGAATACAATTTTTTT